TTATAGTAATTTCATAATTTGCACAAAAACTATGTATTTTTATATTATTATATATTTCAATTTTAAATATATTCCAGAAAATATATTCTGAAATTATATATATAATATGTATATTTCTGAAATAAATAAATAAATATTATATATATAAAGCGGAAATATAGTAATATATCTGAAATATATATTAAAACTGAAATATAGTAATATATATCTGAAATATATAATAAATATATATATCTGATATATTTTGGAATATATATTTGAAATATAGTAATAGATATTTATAGTAATTTCATAATTTGCACAAAAACTATATATTTTTACTGAAATATATCAAATGAATATATATATATATATATTCAAAATCTAAAATATATCAGATATATATAATATCAGAATATATATTTCCAAAAATATATTATATATATTCTGAAACATGTTTTTATTATTTTATATATTTCAGTTTTATTGATGTTAGATAAAAAAATAACATATATAATTTTTTTATTATAACCAATTAGTTGCTTTTTTCTTAATTTGTTACAATAGGGATGTTCATCTTGAGAAACTCAATAATCATTATAAATTTATAATGGTATTTTGTTTTCAAATGGATCCTAAAATAAATGAAAATGTGCATGGGGTTGATGAAGTTGAAGATCCAGTAGCAATGGGCTCAAAGCAACAGGATTCTGAGGCTGCAAATCGGGTAAAAAATCCCCCTGCTCCTCGTAAAATTACTAGGACATAACCCACTAAGCAAAACAAAAGGCAAGGTTCTAGATTAAAATCAGAAATTTGGGACCATTTCACTAAAATGGAGGGTAAGGATGAACCTAGGGCTGAATGTAACTATTGTGGTAAAGACTACGCATGTGACACAAAAAATCATGGCACTAGTAACAAGTGGAGTCATTTGCAACAACAATGCATGAAATATCCCTATAGGGTTGATAAAAGGCAAAAGATATTATCTTTTGAGCCTAAAAATGAAGGAGGAGAATATGGTCTCACTATTGGTAAGCTAAAAGCAGTGACTTTAAGTGTTAAGGAAGCTAGAAAGGAGCTTGCTAAAATGGTTATAATTGATGAATTGCCTTTTAGGATTGTGGAGGGGGAAGGATTTAAGAACCACTGATGAATTGCCTTTTAGGATTGATGAACCGTATCACAGTTTCTAGAGATTGCATGAATTTTTCTTGAGGAGAAGATGAAATAGCAAAAAGTGATAAAAACTTAACGTATATGTCTTACCACTGATACTTGGTCATCAATCCAAAATTTAAATTATATGTGCTTGACAACACATTTGATTGATAGTGAATAGAATTTGAACAAAAAAATTTTAAACTTTAAGTTCCTAATCACAAGGGATAAACAATCGGTAAGATTATCGAGGATTGATTGCTAGAATGGGGCATTGATGGAATTTTTTCAATTACTGTTGATAATGCAAATTCTAATGATGATGCAATTAGATATTTAAAATGAAGAACTAGGGATTGGAAAGGCACCATCTTAGAACATGAATTCATGCATTTAAGATGTTTTGCTCATGTTGTGAATTTGATAGTGAAAAAAGGATTGGAAGACTTACATGAGTCTATTCTCAAAATACAAAATGCAGTAAGATATGTGAGATCATCTCCATCTAGGTTTCAAACTTTCAAAAGGTGTGTTGAGAAGGAGAAAATAGAAAATAAGAATCTTGTATGCCTTGATGTTGAGACTATGTGGAATTCTACCTATTTGATGTTGGAAGTTGCTGAAAATTTTGAAAGAGCTTTTGACCGGCTAGGTGACGATGACCCAAGATATCTCTTATACTTTGAAGGTGGTGATGAGGATGAAAATGAGGAGAGTGGAGGTGGGAATAGAAGAGGAAAAGGGAGAGGGAATAAGCATGTTGGGCCTCCTAATTATGATGATTGGGACAACGCCAGATGTTTTGTGAAGTTTCTAAAGCTTTTCTATAATGTAACATTGCGGTTTTTGGGGTCTCTTTATGTCACATCGAATGCATCTTTTCATACACTTGTGGCATTGCAAAGTAGGTTGGTTCGTTTGTCTAGAAGTGGAGACAGTCTCTTGAGTTCTATAGCAGAGCGCATGAAACAGAAATTTGATAAATATTGGGAGAACCTTGAAAATCTGAATTTCTTGTTATATGTTACCATTGTTTTGGATCCTTGTTACAAATTAAAATATGTGAAATTTTGTTTTGGTCAAATATATGATAGTTTGAGGGCTAGAGAGATGACTAAGAGAGTAGAGGAAACTCTTAATCGTTTATATTACCGTTATCATGATCATGAATGCAATTCAAATTTTAATGCTGGACATGAAGCATCAAGTTCAAGTAAAGCTTCTAATGAGATGGATTTTGATGATAATGAAGAGGATACATGAAGATTCTTAGCATCTCAATTTGCAAAACACTTAGAAAGTGAATCTGAGGTTGCAAGGTATTTGTTAGAGAGTTGTGAAAAGCCAAGTGATTCATTTGACATTTTGATTTGGTGGAAATGAATTTTCAAAAGTATCATATACTTTCTCAAATAGCAAGAGATGCCTTGGCCCTACCAATTTCTACAGTATATTCTGAATCGGCATTCAACACAAGTGGGCGTTTACTTGATCCATTTAGGAGTTCACTATTTCCAAAAATGGTGGAGGCTCTTATATGCGGCCAAGATTGGTTATGGTCCAAACCAATCCCAATTGATGTTCGAGAAGCTATGGATGAAGTGGAAAAATATGAAGAAATTGCATTAGGTAATATTTGTTATCTTGTGAATAAACTTTACTTCATGATATTATTTATAACTTATGTAATTTTTTGGATTACATATTAATATTTGTTTCTTTGTTTTAGAATTCTCAGGAACAAAGGAATAAGTGTAATTAAGTGATGATGATTGGTGTTTTGGTAAGACTTAATAATCTTTACAAGTGTAATTATTTTTTCTACAATTTAAAAGTTCATTTTCCAAGTAATGTGACAATCTAAAACAAACTTTTCTTGTTTGTTTCTTGACGGTTGAGCCATTAGCATGGCAGCATTTCTTCTTCAAACATGAAGTTCCAAAGCCCATTAGGCCACCTAGTTTTTGAATGGTTGCAAGCAACTTTGGATTAGTGATTAATGAACAACTTTTGTGATTAATTTTTCATTTAAATTTTATCATAGGAGATGGCTGAAATGATGTTCAATTTATGACTGTTTTTAAATCTTACTTGACACTTGTTTTTACATGAAGAATTTATTCTTTACTTGAATTGAATTCAGATTTGTCTTGGACTCTTGAACAGCAACTAAGTCACCACTAACTCTATTGGGAGGTCAAATAAATTTCCTTCTATGTCCTTTTTGTACAGGAGCAAAACTGATCACAGAGCTTGTCAGAATTTCCTGTTGGAAAGTTTTACTACTTTGGAATTCTTGGATAGGCAACTATTTCCCATTGATGTTTATAATGGTGGGTTTTGCTGCAATGGAGTTGTCTTTCTATGGTTCTCACTTTGACTTCTTCTCACTTGAATTTTCCAGTACTGCTTGTGATATAATGGTGTGCTTGGGATCTTAATGTTGTCTTGGTCTAGCTAACAACTGAGCTGGTCTGACGTCCATTTTTCACTCTTCTTGGAGCAGATCTTATCCATACACCCAGTCTACTCATCCTCTGCTTGTACCGGACAGAGGCCCAAGATTGGGAACTCATGTGCTGTTGTTTATAAGTTACTGAATTTAAATTGTATTGCGTGCAGAAACTGAACTTAGCTAAAGAAGCATGTTATTGTATACTTTGTTTAGTTGTTCATAATCCTTTGTGCAGTGCATACAAGTTGATATAATGTTTGAAATTCATGATTTCAGTTTTCTTGGTGAAACTAATCTCTAATCCCAGATGCTTATCAATTTGTCTTCTTTTTGTCGTCTTCATTTCTAGCGAGAATAAATTCTCAAACTGACAACCCAAACTTGCACTACACAGGAACATTGGGGGTGTTCCTGCTTCACAAAGTTATTGGTCTGTTTTCTCTTAATTTATGTGCTTTCCTTGCTGGACGATGTTGCTAGCTACTTCTCTGACACCCAATCTACCAATTTATTACCATGGTTGAACTTAGAGCTGAAACCGACTATGTCGGTTTTGCTTAACACAGGGTCGGTTTCGGTTTCAATTTCAAGTAACCCGACCAGGTTGGGTCGGTTGGATAAATTTCAATAAACCGACCCAACCCTACTTCAAAGACTATAGGGGTTATTATATGAGATAGCTCTTCCAACTCGTCAGGCTCTTGGGTAGTATAGAGGGAATTAAAATAATCTAGAAAAGTGTTAGCTATTTCTTTATACGAGGTTTTCCAGTTATTCTGATCATCTTTTGATACCCTCAATGATATTCCTTTTTCTTTTACAAAGAGTGCTCTTATGAAAGAAATTTGTATTTCTATCTCTTAGTTATAGCCAAGTTTTCCAAGAGTTTTGTCTCCAGTAACTTTCCAATTGCCAATTAGCCTTCTCATAATCCAAGTACAGGCCATGAAGATTTTGGAAGGACTTCGATTGTTCTACTTGTAAGATTTGATCTTCCAAACATTTTAGTTTGTCTCTAGGTTCCACAAAGGTTTTCTTCATCCATCCAATTAAATCCTTCTTCAAATTATCTAGCTTTTTGGTTAATCCGTAAGCTACATAGCCATTAGAGTGGAACTTCTAACTTTCTTCAATAACTTGTTGACAAGAGTTATCTGATAACCACATTTCAAAAAACCTAAAAAAGTTTAGTAAGGTTCTGAATTGGGGGATCTAAATTTAAAATGAGGGGATGATGATTAGAGCCCCATTTAGTTCCTAGAGAGAGGCATGCATTCAGAAAAAAGATCAAGCCACTCAAGAGAAACTACTACTTGATCTAAAGTTCGTTGAACATGACCCTTACTTCGTTTATTGGACCAGGAAATCCCACCACCTTGGATGTTTAATTCTAGCAGGTTAAGATCAAGAATTAGATTTCTATATTGCCTATAAGCCAAATTAGAGTTGTGGATAGAGGAGGAGGGTTCTAAAGCATCAAACAAGGCAGCCTCATTAAAATATCCTATTAATAAGAAGGGAATAGAAATTCACTGTAACTAATTATTTAAATTTCTCCAAAAGGAATTTTGATGATGTTTCACAGAAGGTCCATAAAGAAAACCTACTAACCAAGAAATTGAATTGGAATGTATTTCAAGAAAGACATACCTAGCTACAGACAACACAACTGACACTGCAATGCCCACTTTCCAAAATACTGCTAAACCGCTGACTCTCCCTTCAGGGGTGATAGTGACACAATTAAGATAACGTAACATCAAAGATAAACTATTAATTTTATTGTTAGGGATTTTTGTCTCACAAAGGAATAAAAAATCTGGATTAATTCTATGGACAAAATCCCTAAGACCTTAAACTGCCTTGGGGCCCAACCCCACGATAGCTCCAACTTAAAATTAACATCGATACTGGTGGGGCTGATAAGGGCCAGCCACCTTCGCCCATGGATAAATAAAGTAAGATGCGAAGAAAAAAGACCAAAATCTTACCGTATAATGATCCTCTGAGTCCCTATCAAACTCTCTATTGCCTATAAGATCAATAGGGACAATATGCTCTTCTAGAGATATTCCTGAAGACTCAGGCCTGTCGTAAATAGGGAGGTTAGGAGAGGAGTGATCTATCTCAAGATTGGCGATTAGATCCAACCTAGGCCTTTTGCCTCAGGAAGAAGAGGAGGGCCTAGGCATGTCATCCAAAAGTCGGTTTAGCAGATGTTGCGTGTTTGCAACTAAATTAAAGGTACTAGGAGAAACCCTTAGAGGAGCGGTCAAAGAAGATGGAATCATAAGACTTGGAGAAATCGAGGTATTAGTAGTTTGAATAGGAGTATGCTATTGGTTTGAGGGAGGTGGATTCGGGTTTGCTTCTGCATTAAGATTATCTGAAACCTGCGGAGAATGAGCTGGGAGATTCACAAAATTACTAAAAGAGGGACGTTTCCAGAAGTGTCTCATAGCATGCTCAGCCCAAAGCCAAGGCCCTGGTAGATTCATTAAACGCCTACTAAAAAACTGATCAAACAATCTACACGCAGTTTGAGGGAGAGGTTGAGAATAACGACGAAAGAGATGACCTAACACGTCCAGGGTAAGTCTTCATACCGATAGGTAATCCAGTTGTTGACATTGACAAAGAAACCTATCTTCAGAGGTTGCATCACAGACGGGGTGACCTTTGCTCGGATGTAGTTCTGGACTACCGAGATAAGACGAATATGACCTAGACGTTTAAAGAGAGGTCTACCGACTTCTACTGAAAGAGTTTCAAAATGAAGGTCATGAATCTGAGTTCAACTTCTTGAAGATTCCAAGCATATTGGGGACGCCTTGGCACCCACGGTTGCATCAGGACCCATTGCCCATTAAGAGTCCAAGGTCTGTTGTTTCTTACTCTATCGAAATCATCCGTGTACCAAAAATTAAGACGAAAATGACCCCGGTGAAAAGGAGTAAGTAACAGACAACTAGAATCTAGATTCCATAACTCATACAGCCCTTGGACCACCTCATCAAACTGGTCCGTAAGTCGGGGGAACAGACAACAGATAAGGGAAAGTTGCCAGTTCTCTTCAGTGTTTGGAGGGATAGAGGATTTCCATTACCCTGAAGCATATGTTGGAATGCTTCGTTCAAAGCGTTGATATTATCCATGAAGAAGATGAGGACAGAAAAGGTATTGAGAAACGGAAGAACCTACTGCAGGAAGGAACTAGAACTTCCAGAGGCAATCTGGATAAAGCGAAGAAGAAGAAGAAGAAAGGACAGCTAAAACCTTTAAAGTTATGTAGCTACTATGATCTTGGCTCAAAACTCCTATAAAATGTCCAACGACGTTCCAAATTGATCTACGGAATTAACAATGGTTCATTTTGGCAACTCTATAGCCGGCTCAACCGGGCCTGGTAACAATTTGTCCAGAACAGAAAAAGAAAACCCTAGTTTTAGCCCAGGCATCTCCTTGTGGGACCCCTTTAATGGTGGTTCAACCTAATGTGTAATATGGACATGTGGGCATGGGTAGTTGTTACTCCAAATAACAAGTTGGGCCTAGCTTGAAACCCAATGCCAAGGCCCACTAGATGTGCCTCCTCGGCTCATTGCTCCCAAATGCATTTCACCACGACTGAAATATCAGCCATTTTCCTTTTCCCCGTTACCCTCGTGACCACAAGTTAGAGAGAGAGAGAGATAAAGTCGTTAAAAAGAGGTTATAAGAGAGAGATGGAGAGAGATAAGAGTTGTTGAAAGGAAAGAAGAGGAGAGGGAGGCGACGATTGGACAAAGACAAGTGCGCTCTCTTACACCTTTCCTTGAGGATAAGGAAATGCTTAAGCACTCCCTCTCATATCGTCTCCTTCTACAGTGCTTCCCAAACAAATCGGATTTGGTACTCTCAACTTCTCAAGATCGTTGCTCATACTGTACGAATCCGTTCGTACAGTTAGTTCCTTGCGACAGCTTTGCATTAGAAATATCTCACCATTAAAAAAAATATACAAGTACTGAGATATTCCCAATGTAGGGCTGTAAAAAGGCTATGAAAACTGTGTGAACTTGGTCTTGCAATCACTGAATCCGATCTCTTTTCCAAATAGCTGGCTCAATGAGAGCCACGCCAGTAATAAACTTTCACACTCTGGTATCTCTCCAACTACCATTGTATACTGTCCCCGGCATTCTCTGCCTTAGATTGTCTGACCACAGTCCGTGATACCATGTCCACATGCTTTTTCTGGGGTGGACTCGTTACGGCGCATCTCAATCCAGAGTGGACAACCTTTCGAGACCGATACATCGGGCTTCTCGTCTGAGAGTCGAGACCCGATTCAGTCCTCACAAAATTTGTTTTCACAACATTCTCACAATAATTACAGCCCTGTATTTGGGATATCTCTACGCATTTTTTTTATTTATAGAGAGATGTTCCCAATGCACGGTTGAGAAAGTCTGTGAGCACGGTTTAAGCACAATTTTGTGTGTACTGATTCCGAATTCCTGAGAGCCACCAAATTTGTGTGAGTACCTCCCTCACTCCCTGATGCAGTATAATAAGAGGTGGATATTTGCAAACAAAATTATTGCTCGTCTCCTCTCTTTCTCTCTGTTTTCGAAGACAAAGAGATAGAATGGAGTCCAGAGTTCTGTCCGGCACCACCTCCATTTCGGGCCTCACTCAGTTGAGAAAACCTACGAGGGATAATGCTTTCTTCGTCCCTACGAGGACCTTCGGAGCCGTTGCTGATGGTGGAAACCTCATCTGGGGTAGACAGCTCCGACCCAATTTGGTCCTACAGATGTCACCGGCTGCATCTCGAGTTCCGGCTGCGAAACGGGATATTCTGAAGCCCTGTCTCGCAGCCGCCTCGTCTCCGGCTGAAGGTGACTCCGCCGGGTGAGGTCCTTTTCCTCCGTTTCGACTTGGCTGCCGGAATGTATAAGAAATCTGACTAGTTCTATGACCCATTGTCTGTTTCCTCTTTCAGCGAAGGCAAAGTCGCTCCGGTTGGATTTGCGGATAAATATCCGGCTCTGGTTACTGGGTTCTTCTTCTTCATGTGGTAAATGAACTGCATTCTCTAAATCGCGCCTTGGAGTACTGAACATAGTCACGAACACAGAGCTCTTAGTTTTTCTGTATTTACAGGTATTTTTTGAACGTAATATTCAACATAATCAACAAGAAGATCTACAACTACTTCCCTTATCCTTAGTAAGATTCTAGCCTCTTCTCTATCATTCTTCTTTTTGTATTCTGGTTATTCAGCGCAACTTAGCGTAACCGTAACTGTGGTGAATTAATCTGATTGTTTTCTGGGGTGAGCAGTTTTGTATCGGTGGTTCATTTGCTTGTTGGAGTCGTTTACTGTTTGGTGAGCTGGGCTGTGGGTCTCCCTAAGCGTGCTGTAAGTGAACTTTCCTCTTGTCACCATTCGTTAACGCTTAACTCTCGTTTGAATTTAACATCATAATCCATAAGGCGGAATCCTTATTTCCCTATTTTGTATTGATTGGTAAAAGAAAAGGTACTGATACTGATTGATCCGAAGAGTCAATTCTGATAATCTGACATGTTGCTTATATCATTGTTAGTTAGGCATATATAGACAATATAAATGGATCATACTTTACAAACAAATCGTAGAATGTATATAGATCAAGGCCATTCAATTTGATTATCACATGATTTAGTTGTCATTTGATCAATAACAATCTGCAATAAAAAAACATGGATCACTCACTGTTTAGAAAAGGAAAAGGAGGGAGGCTGATTGATCAAAAAGTTCAGTCATCAAAATACTGGGTTAGTTGATTTTTAATAAGTGTTTTATACATTATATTTAACGTTTTCATGTCCTGTATCTTGTCATGCTTACAATGCTAATCTACCATACGTTCATACATGGCTGTATATGGGCGGAGACCTTATAATGTCACTGTGTCATGTTATGGTTATTGTATTATTCGTTCTGAGTTGATTTGTGTAATGCCATTTTCTGTAGCCTATCGACTCAAACCTCCTGAAGTTGCTCATCCCCGTTGCAGTTTGCCATGCCCTAGGCCATGTCACTAGTAATGTATCTTTTGCTGCAGTTGCTGTCTCTTTTACCCATACAATCAAAGGTACAATATATGTATCCCAGTTTTATTTTCTTGTCAGTTTCTCGAACATATACAGAGACAAGATACTCACTGCCCTGTTTCTCCTCTGATCTTCTTTTTCATTTCGGATCAGCTCTGGAGCCTTTCTTCAATGCAGCTGCTTCTCAATTCATACTTGGACAGTCGATACCACTGTCACTTTGGCTATCACTAGCTCCTGTTGTTATTGGTAAGTTATCCCTCTTACCTAATGTAGTATGGGCATCTTTGTTGTTACATGAATACCAGAGCATATCTTAATGAAGAAGTTAACCACTGGTTCCAGTATATCTAGGATATATACGCTTAGTTGTCATGTTAATTGGTCATTTTATGTTTGCTTCCTTGACTTCAATGTGAACTAATGTACTGAAAATGGACTACATAAAACAAACTAGAAACAGATTCATGGTTATGGTTTAGACTGTTCTTGGAACAAATTTTACATGTATTATATGACCCCCTTCTTCCGCATCAATTTTTTTTGAAAACTAAATCACTGTTCAGGTGTGTCGATGGCATCATTGACTGAGTTGTCGTTCAACTGGACGGGATTCGTTAGTGCTATGATTTCTAACATCTCTTTCACTTACAGGAGCATATATTCAAAGAAAGCCATGGTTTGTTTTCCAAATTCATTTTCTTTATGAATAAGTCAAGCTTCTCTTTAGAAATTCTCTGATAGTTGCTCCTGTACTTGCAGACTGACATGGATAGTACCAATGTCTATGCCTACATTTCCATCATTGCTCTTTTTGTCTGTATTCCACCAGCAATCTTTGTGAGTAGAACTTAAGTCCACCTTGAAATCCATGAAGAGTTCAACCTTGCAAAGCGGACTTTTTAATCAAATCTCTCTCCCCTTTTATATCTACTTCATTTCTGTTTTCACAGATTGAGGGACCTCAACTGATGAAGTATGGATTTAGTGATGCAATTGCTAAAGTTGGTCTCACGAAGTTTATCTCAGATCTCTTTTGGGTGGGCTTGTTCTACCACCTATACAATCAGGTAATTTGTCTATAACTGTCAAGTAACTTACTACCCTTTTATTCCTCTAATTTTAAATAAGATATGGTACAAAATGTAGTAGTTGTTAGTTGCAAATGATGATGATTGTGATTTAAATTTGCTTCTTGATCTCAGCTGGCAACAAATACCCTAGAGAGAGTGGCACCTCTTACTCATGCAGTTGGCAATGTGTTGAAGCGTGTCTTCGTGATTGGCTTCTCGATCTTGATCTTTGGTGAGAAATTTCTAACAACCGGCTTTTTATGTTCCTAATTTTTTAACTTCTTTATTAGATATTTAGTTTATCTTCACATACAAAAACAATACTTCTAACATTTTTCTGCACGCAGGTAACAAGATTTCAACACAAACAGGCATTGGAACTTCCATTGCAATAGCTGGAGTGGCAATCTACTCATACATCAAGGCCAAGATGGAAGAAGAGAAACGAGTGAGTTGCCTGGAAAAATATATTCATATGCATATTATCAACTAAGCAGTGTTTCTTTGAAAAGCAAAAATAAATAATATCAATTCAGATAGATAAATATCTTTTTCTCCTATCATAGTTTCTTTAATTACAATCCAGAAGACAATCTGTCTACTATCTCTATCAACAGATGTTAATATACATGCCCATTGATCCTGAGACTATAAACCATCTTCCCTCCTGGCCTCAGTCTTCCACTTTTTTAGTGCAGTGACCCATCCAAGATAAGCCTTGTGATTGCATGGCCTTAATAAATGTCTGATTTTCTAGAAATGCCTATATTGGATTTTCCTAGATGAAGTCCATACGTCTAATGCATATTATGAATTATTTTGCAGCAAATGAAAACTGCATGAGATGGAAGGAGACATGAAAATGGAGGAAGAGTCAATCTTCTGGTTTAGACCTTGATGGTGCTGAAAAGAAAATATGATTTAATCAAGATCCTCCAACTTGTGAAGAACCATGTTCTTTTCTTTTCTTTTTTTTTTCTTTTTTGATCAATTTCCTGTCACGTGGAGTACAAACCATTTCTAGTTTGCCATCATCTTCTGTTGACTGAAAAAATAATGTTTCACTATGCTTTTGTTTATAAAGCATTCATCTTTTGGTCAGAATCTATGAAGGGAGGTGTATGCATGGGAAGGAAAATGTGAATAGTACATATTATCAAGGAAGGTGTACCATGAGACTGCATGGTTAGTTGCTCTGCATTTCCATGTTGCTTTTCTTGTTTCTAAACGCTTATTTGCTTTCTTATATATCTAGTATATAAACTACTGCAAAGCAATTCAGAGTCCAAAACTCAAAATTGCATGCACTGATCAAGTATATATATGTCTGATTATAGAACATCAAAGTCTAACTTGTCTTGCCTGATTAACGGTCTCTTGGGCAGAAAAAAGAAATAAATTAAACTATAGAATAAGTTCATCTAGAATAAGTTTTAGATAATCAAATTCAATGTAGTAAAAGATTCTGTAAAGATAGATTCATGTTAATTTTTAGGTAAATGATACTGCAATTTGTGTTTCTCTTGTTGCCACTTACCACTGAAGAATCACTCTCTTTGAAGTTTATGAGAATGTAATAATTCTATTTGTTGTATCAAAAGGGTAAACCAGCTGTCATCTGCCAAGCGTGAAATGCCGGTTTGAGTCTAAGAGTGGCCACTTTGTACGAAAAAATGCCAGAAATTAGAACCATATCTATATCTAGTCCATTCCTCCCAAGACCCCAGATCGGGTAATGGCCTTTTCATCTTGTATCAAGAGAAACTATGATTATAGCATTTTCCAATTTTTAACATAAAAGGTTTTCTTTTTTTGGTAGGCCAAGCCCAAATTCCATTGTCATTAGACACTCAATTGCATCCAGCCAATAGCTTTGTGACAACATTAACCACTTGAACTTGTTAATTCCTAATTTATGTGCTCGCAAATATGCAAAAATATTTCCATTTTAATGGTTTTCAATGATCAGAGATGGCTCTACTTGTAGCTCACCAGCAGTTTCATTTACAAAATCCTAATAACAAGGGAAGAATTTTAAAAAGTTGGAGCAGAAATAGATGAGAAATTGAAGCAAAGAAGATTATTAATGGAGGCTTTCAGAAGGCAAAGTAAAGAGTGTGATTCCAAACTTTGGCTGTTGGGGCCAACACCCGACAGCAAAGCTGTTTGAGAACATTTTTGGGAATGCCACGTTACCATGAGGGGTAAAATAGAAATTGCTCCCTAGCAAAATGATTTCAAGCCCCCCACCCCCACACACACACCCTCACAAAAGAAAACCCCCTAAAACCTGTATGATAAAAACCCAACAGACATAGTATACGTCATCATTCTCTCTACTCTTTGACAAAACTGCACTAAAACGTCACTACTCGGACATGATCCATGTCAGCAATTATTTAATATATTGGCATAAATAGCCCCATTAATGGGTGTTTTTTTTTTTACGCCATTGACAATGTTTTCAAACACTATATATATATATATATATATATATATATATATATATATCTGCAATAAAAAAGGGAAAATTCCTGATAGGTATCTTGTACTTTAGGCCAAGTGCCAATTTAGTGCCCAAATTTTAAAATGTGCCAATCTAGTATTCGAACTTTCAATTTACGACGATTTAGTACTTGGCGTTTACCAAAATACACAGGTTTTGAAAAAGACTCTCACACCTAATACGGTGAGTGGGGGCTGTATTTATAATAGTACAATTAGAGTTCAATTACAAAACAAATTGTAGAAATGATAATAAGGAGAGAGGATATGATAATGTGATAACAAGGGAGAGAAATAAACATGAAATACATAAAATATATCCTAACAACTAAGGTGTATGTGGACTGCTGGAAGACTTATCATTATCACCCCCCTCAAGGTGGACGTGGGAGAAGACACGTTCAGCTTGTGTCGAAGCGAAGTAAAGCGAGGGGTGCCAAGGGGTTTTGTCATTATGTCAGCAAGTTGATTATGCGAGGAGAGAAACTAGACATGAAGTAGCTTTTTGGAGACTTGAACACGAACAAAATGAACATTGATCCCAACATGCTTGGTACGGGCATGGAGGACTGGGTTAGCGGAGAGGTACGTAGCACCAAGGTTGTCACACCAAAGGATCGGGGTGCTGGTTGAGGGAATGGCAAGTTCTTTGAGAAGGAATTGAATCCACAACAATTCGGTAGTGGCAACAGCAACACTTTGGTACTCGGCTTCAGTGTTGGAGCGCGAGACAATGGGTTGCTTTTTGGATGACCATGAGATGAGGTTATTGCCAAAGAAAATGCAGTAGCAACCTTGGGATTTGCAATCATCCGGGCAACCGGCCTAGTCAGCATCTGTAAAAGCATGAAGATGAGGAGAGTGAGACAGTGTAATACAAAGACCAAAATGAATGGTATCCTTGAGGTAGCGCAAGATGCGCTTGACGGCTTGCCAATGTTCAGTAGTGGGTGCACTGATGAAATGGCAAGCTTTGTTAACACAAAAGGCTATATCAGGCCTGGTGAAAGAGAGATATTGAAGAGCACCAACTGTACTTCTGTACTCAGCAGGATTTGGAAGTGGGTCACCTGTAAACCTGGCAAAAAGTTGATCCAACCCACGAACCCGATCCAATTCAACCCGAAAAAACAGGGTTAGGGTCTCATATTTCACTACTCGAATGTGAAAATGACCTGACCTGAAACCCGCTGACCCGATTGTCAAGTCTAATTGGATTATTTATGCATTGTTAGAAGTTTCCACTCTTTAATTTTTTCTATTTAGTCTTTGCTTTTTATTGTTCTCTTTAAATTGTTAAATGTTCAAGTTTTTTATTTTATATTTGGAATTTTAAGGTTAATTCTTTTAATTTTGACATTTTTCATGTAATTCTTTTTTTTTTTTAATTTCAATTATTTTTTGGGATGACCCCAATTGACCCATGGATCAACCCTAACCCGAACATTTAGGGTTAGGGCCTAGCATTTGATAACCCAATCTGACCCGAAATCAACCCGAAGTACCTTGACCCAACCCAAACCTGACCCACCCAACCCAATTGCCAGGTCTAGTCACCTGAATGTTTGGACAATTTGCAAGAAGCGCTCATGGGAGTAGGGGCGGGCTTCACATCCTCAAGGTGGAGACGCTACAGAAGGTCAACAGTATAGCGTTGTTGGGAAAGAAATAGTCGTGTGGGTTGGCAAATTGCTTCAACAGCAAGGAAAAAGTGCAGTGGCCCATGTCCTGAACAACAAAGGCTGAGCCCATTCGAGTGATGAGAGAGAAGATAGTAGCTGGACTGGAACTTGTCACTATAATATCATCAACATAAATGAGAAAAAGAAGAGAAAAGTGAGGTGTGTGCTTAATAAGCAGTGAAGTATTAGCTTTGGAGCAAGAGAAGCCATCATTAAGAAGAAAAGTACTTAATTTTTTATACCAAGCGTGGGGGGCTTTCTTGAGCCAATAAAGCGATTTGCATAGTAAGCAAATGTGATCGGGCTTGGTGGGGTCACAGAACCCCGACGGCTAAGCCATGTAAATGGTCTCAGAGATTTCCCCATTCAAAAAGGCATTCTGAATGTCTAGTTGGTGTAAAGACTATCCATGGGACAAAATGAGGCGAATGGTGACGGGCTTAATTACTGGACTGAAGGTCATAGTGTAGTCTACGCCCTCTTGTTGTGTAAATCCCTTTTCAGTGAGACGGGCCTTAAACTGGGAGATGCTACCATCGGGATTTTGTTTTACACGAAAAACCCATTTACACCTGACAATGTTGGAATTGGGGGGTGGGGGAACCAAGTCCTAAGTATGATTGCGCAAGAGCGCTGCATACTGTTCAGTCATGGCAGATTTCCAATTGGGGTTAGAGAGAGCTTTGGAGAGGCAAGAGGGCTCAGAGGTGAGGTCAGGGAGGGGGTGACGACTAGTAGAGAAGACCTTGGGCTTGAAAATGCCATTTTTGGAACAAGTCACCATGGGGTGAGTGGACTGATGAGGAGGTATGGGAATGGGCTGGGAGGGAGTAGGAGAAAGAAAAGTGTGATCAACGTGAGGTGGGCTCATTGAAGTTATTAAAGTTGAGGTGGTGGGCCCATTAGGAGGAGGCATGTGCAATGCTTGGTTGGATGGGCCCGGTGGGCCTAGTGGAAAAGATATGGGGGCTGGTTTTGTCAGTGGTTCTTGGTTAAGGAATTCAGGAAGGTGGTTGGAGAGGGATGGGCCCGTAGTGGGAAGGGAGCTCACAGCACTTGGACTGAGAGAGGGAGATCGTGGGCCCGGCATGATATGGGGAGAGAGAGGGTCTAGAGGCAGCACGGGACTGTTAAGAACAGGGGGGAGGCCAATAGAAGGTTCAGTGGTATCGGTTCTGGTAGGAGTTGGACAAGAGGGTTGTTTAGAAAAAGGAAAAGCATCTTCATTGAAGACGACATGCCGGGAAATAAAAATGCGGCCAGAGGGTATATGAAGGCACTTGTAACCATGATGGGCTCTACTATACCCCGAAAAGACACATGATTTGGAGCGGTAAGCAAAGTTGTGATTATTGTAGTCCCGTAGACATGGGAAACATTCACATCCGAAGACTTTCAACCATGACAAATTAGGTTTGGAGTGAAAGAGGGCTGGCTTCCCATGGTGAGTGGTACCCTAACACGGTTGTGGGTAAGCGGTTCAAACTTCAAAAGATAGGCAGCAGTGTCAAAGGCATCCCACCAGTAGGTTAAAGGGACAGAAGCGTGGGCTAGAAGTGTGAGGCCCATGTCAACAATGGATCTGTGACGGCGTTCAACAGTGCCATTTTTGTGCAGATGTGTGTGGACAAGTCAACCTATGAACAATTCCATGTTGGAGAAGAAAGGGCTTAAAACTACGAAATTCTCCACCATCATCAGTTCGGAGAGCCTTGATGGATGAATTTAAAAGTTTCTCAATCATAGTTCTAAAATTAACAAAAGCATCAAATGCATCAGATTTCATATGCAAAGTGAACTTAGTAAAATCATCAACAAATGAAATGTAATACTTAAAACCATGAGAAGAAATCGGGGCTGGTCCCCATAAATGAAAGAGGTTCAGAAGAAGAATGTTTTCTAGAAACAAAAGGCAATTTATGATTCTTGCCCAATTGTTAAGATGAACAAAAGGCTAAGGATTTATTCGAAAAGAGAGGCAACTGACATGGCACACAATATGCGGGCTAGGATGCCCAAGCCTATAGTGCCACGTGTCAGCACTGCAACGTTCCCCTATGAAAGCAAAATTAGAACTGAGTTGAGGAAGTCCTCTTGGATCTAGCTGATAAAGACCATTCTTATTCCACCCGTGGAGCAAAATCTTCTTGGACTGGGAATCCTTTACAACAAAAAAGTTTTTTTAGCATGAAACTCAAAAAAGACATCATTATCATGGCAAAATTGCCCAATTGAAAGTAAATTTTTGGTAATTAAAGGAACATGAAGAACATTTTTCAAAATCAAGGGACGAGTGGGGTTGGGAATGAGTGTAGAACCAGTGTGGTGGATTGACAAACCTGTCCCATTGCCCATTTTGATCTGATCAGTGCCCGTATACTCGGAATGTAGCTTTAAGTTGTTCTAATTGGCAATGAGATGATTTGTAGCTCCGGAGTCCGGATACCACAGAGAATGATCAGTAGAGGAGTTGGAGGATGTTGTATAGGATGATTTGGATCCTTCTCCATTCTTCGCATAACGAAAGTAGCAATTTACTGCAGTGTGATTTTTGCGCTTGCAAATTTGACATGGGCCTGATGGTTGGCCATTATTAGGACCATTGGTCCCTTTTTTGGAATAATTTTCTTGACCATGTTCCCGTGGAGGGTTGGGTCGTCCATATTGAGAGGACTGATTTGGGGAGACACAGGACTTATTGTTATTATTGTTGTTGGGCCCACGAAAGGTTGTATTGGCACTAAATGGACCGGATTCGAATCCAAGTTTAAAATACTCCTTCCGGTGTTCATGATTTAACAACATTCCATTGAGTTCCTCGGTGGACAATTCATCAGAACGAGTGCTTACTGATGTGACAAATGCCTCATAGTCAGGTCCTAGACCCATCAATATTTGAAGATTAAGATCAAATTCAGATATAGGAGAACCAACAACACCGAAGCTGTCAGTCAATATTTGGCTTTCTGGAGATAATCAGCCATAGATAGCGTATCTTTTCTGAGATGTTGTAACTCAAATGGCAGTTGCATCACTCGGACCCATGATTTGGAGGCAAAGTGTTTTTCCAATGATTTCCATAGCATTGCTGAAGAGGTGCACCCAATTACTTGGCCAAGTACAGCTTTTGTTAATGTTGACAAAAGCCAACTTAGTAAGAGGGCATCCTGCTTTTCCCATGTGGTAAATGCTAGGTTGTGAATATTGTTGGAACTAGTCCCTGACTCTTCACTATTGGTGGTGACGGTGAGATATTTGGTTGGGCATGGGATTGACCCATCTACATATCCAAGTAATCCGGTCCCTTTGAGAGCTTGAAAGATTTGAGAGTTCCAAGTAGATAGTTGTTTCTAGCTAGATTCACTGTGACGAGATGAGTGAGGTTTACATTGGATAGCCCTGGATTTTGGTTTTGGGTTTTGAAATTTTGAGTAGTGGTGGCGGTGCTGCTACTTGACATGGTTGGACCGAGGTTTTGCTTTGATACCATACCAAAGTACACCGGTTTTGAAAAAGACTCTCACACCAAATACGGTGAGTGAGGGTTGTATTTATAATAGTACAATTAGAGTTCAATTACAAAACAAATTGTAAAAATGATAAGAAGGAGAGAGGATATGATAATGTGATAACAAGGGAGAGAGATAGACATGAAATACATAAAAGTATATCCTAACAACTAAGGTGTACATGGACTGCTGGAACACTTATCGTTATCAGCATTAATTCATCATTAAGTGTCATGGAAAAAGACACAAATGCCCTTTAAGTGTCATCTAATTTTCTTTATCAACCTTCTGTTTATAAAGCACAATGATCCCAACTTTCCACGAACCAAACCAAACACAAAGCATAAGAATTCAAATATATGAAAGCAGAAGAACAGGATAAAGTCGAAGCCTTGTCGCTTTCTGATCTACCGGCTATGGAAATCAAGAGAGAGAAGCATTAAGTGAAGAAATTAAAGCTCTTGAAGCCGAAGAGGACTTCGAGTTAGGTTCATGGGGTGCCTCTCTTTTGACAAAATCAGAAATGTGTGCAGCTGACGACGTATTCTTTCAGGGCCAGATCCTACCTTTACGACTCTCAGTTAGCTCTGATAGTGGGTTGGCTGGGTTCCGTTAAGATAGTCAGAATTTTATTCATTGCGGTTTGAGGTCAGAGTCCTTGAAGCATAGTTTTTCTTGTGGTTTCACCAGCATAAGCAGTAGAAGCAGCAGTTGCAGAAGCCACAACTCGCCGAGTAGCAACTCCATCAATGCCACCAAATACAAGCCAAGAGTGAAGAACCATTTTCATACCCACCCTTGCCCAAAACCCCAGTTGTGGTATTGAGTTAGACGTCCTAAAGCGTCGGAACAGAAACAAGAGTTGTAACAGCAGGAGCAATCATAATACCAAGAATGGTACCTGTGGTGGTAGAAGTAGTCCTGATGAGGCCAAAATAGAGAAGAAAAGCCTGCCCCTTGTAAATTCAAGGAATGGTACCTTCAGCTCTACAAATTTTCCCTTTGATTTACAGAGGAAACTGTAGAATTTGGATTCGTATACGTTTTGCTGTTGGAAAACTTTGGCTTGTTGGCCTTGTTTGTAGTTCTTTTCATGCTACAGTCAAGGATTTTTAATGAAGAAAAGCTCATTCATTTTTTGTTCTTGTTTGCTGAAATTTAGTTTCGAACTCAAAGAGTAAAGACGATTATACTTGAATTTTGGAATGGAAATTTGTTGTTAAGAGTCCGATACATTATTTGGTCTCCTATTACCGTTTCAATCATATAACTAGAACTGTCGAGTTTCTGAAGATATTGATGGAGATGGAGGTCTCTGGTGAGCATTCTTGTAAAATTGACTCAGAGTTGTTGAATAATGGAAGCTTTGAAGTATCACATTTGTAGAGCATTGAGCTGGAATCAGCAAATACTGGTTTCCGTAGGAGCCTTGGCTCAGATCATCAGTTTCATTCCATGGGTGCATTGGAGATTTGAGAGAAACTGTTAGGATCTTTCATTACAATTCCCCAGGTTTCATGATGATTGCAGTAGTGCTCATTTGCCCTGTCTCTGCTGTAGTCCTCTCTAATGTTTTAGTTGATCATTCTATTCTAGAGAGATTGAGTACTAGGCTTTTGTTAGTTGCAAAGTCAAGTGGGTTGTCATTGGAACCCTCTATTAAACAGTCATGCCAACGTTTATCAGATATGGCTCTCTCTGCCGCTTTCTGCTTCCCTTTCTACATCATGCTCTTTCTATTATCCAAATCTGCCATTGTGTACTCTATAGAGTGGATTGAGTAGTTTTAAGTGTTCAGTTAGTGCAGTTGAAACCTAGTACTCAGTCATGCCAACGTGGGCCATGGTGGCAGCTACGGTGGCGAATTAAGAATACCACCCCTCCCGCTGGCCATGGTGGTGGCCAACGGCGAGCCCTGGTTCTTGTATTTTCATCATGAAATGATAGTCTAAACTGGACTGTTGAGAACTTGGATTGGGCTCTGTTTCATTTTCTTGAGAAAGAAGATGATGAACAGTGTGTTATTTTCAAGGGTAATTTTGGTATTTTCAAAAGTCTTAAATCGCACATGAGGTCACGTGATATACATAACTGACGACTCATTAATGGTAGGTACTAGATTGTCACGTTTTAAAGTACAAGTACTAAATTGGAACTTAGCCTAAAGTATAGGGTACCTATCGGGAATCCCCCCCCCCCAAAAAAAAAAGACAAGCACTAGTTATATCTCTTCAGCATATCTAAATAGAAAATACCAAACCATTCATATACTATTTTACCTAGCCTATAAGTAACAAATTAATGGTAAATTAGCAATCTAGAGAAAGATGTAGATTGACCACATGACCACTCTTGGCACAAATAAAGCTGGTAACTTGGTGCTTGGTGCTGCACTCTGGTTACTAGTTAGGTGGAGAAGGTCAATTTATGAATGTGGGGAACATATTTCCCTGTTTAAAATTTTGGGTTGTACACTCTGTACTTGCTTATTCTATTCAAAATACTTAAAACCAAGCACAAGTTGTAATTGAGGGTTGTCTGAAATCCAATCCAAGTCCTATTCCCAATCAACAAGGAGAGAGAGGGATGGTGAATCTCAATCTCATAGTGAGATGGTGCTCAGTCGAAGCTAGAAATCTGGAAGTAGAACGTTGGCTATGCAAGCATGAATGATTTCTAGGGCAGAGCTCTGCAAGATATCGAATACCATATTTGTTACTAGTCATCGCATCAATCGTATTTACTTTCTTTTTAGGGAGTATCTCTTATTTTATTTTAGATGTTACTAGTTATATTATTAGCAAGGTCTAGTGTTTTCTATAACATAGCTTTTAAAGTTCTAGTTATTTTATTTTACTTAAGCAGATGTAAGAATTTAGATTTTTTCAATTTAGTTGGTTCTATCTAGTTACATCCGAACTTGTTAGTTTTCTTTTTCTTTTCTCTGGTTTAGTTTCTCAAACTAAATCTTTCATTTCTTATCTTATGCTTGTTTCTGGTCTTGTTTAAGCGTCCTTTCGCTTTCTAGTGCATTAATGAGATTATCCTCTTTTGATTAGTTTTTCTGCCACCTGGTGATTTTCAACTTTTCATTTGAGTAGGTGTCTTTACTTCAAGATTTACTAAATCCTTTCTCAGACAACTGTATCTTTCTTCTTCTTCTTCCTCTGCACTTATCTTCTTACTACACTTGAAGTTTGTCTTCCTTTCTTTGTTCTTTGTTCTTGTCTTTTTCTTTTTCCATCATGGATGATATCAAAGCCCTGAATGAAGTCTTCCAAAACATGTTGCATGCTACTAATATCCAAGGTATTGACCTTGTTGATATTTGTCCTCATCTTCCCAAAAATCTTTGAGAGGGTTGGGATTTTTTATTTATTTGTCGATTATTTTCTTGTCTTACATATCAATTTTCTGAGCTTGAACAAGGTCTCTATATCCTTTGGAATCTAGATCCAAACCGTATCCTTATGGCACCCTTTCAACGGGGACAATTTAGACTCTATTTTCGCTATGAAGAGGATTTTATTCAAATTAAAGATAATGGGCCTTGGATGCTCAACGGTCAATGGATTATCCTTAAACCCTAGGTTCCTGGTTGTCCCCAATATGAATGGCGGCTTAATCAAATTGAGCTTTGGGTTCAATTACATGATCTCCCCTATGAAATCTTATTAGAAGGTATAAGCAAACCCATGTTTGAATGTATAACTCCAACCCGTCATATTGAGGTTGTCCAAAACTAAATTCATGCTAAAGTGTTCATTACCATCGACCAACCTTTAAAAACTAGTTGTTTTTTCAATGTTATGAACTGGGTTACATTTAGATATGAAGATCTCCCCAGTACTTGTTTACTTTGTGGTAGGGTTGGTCATCTATACCATTGCTACTCACAACCTCTTCCTTATGTTTATGGAAAATCTTATGAACAATATTTTAATCAAAGATTCATGCATTTTCTAGGTCCCTAGCTTAGAGCAAAAATACCCATGCGTCGTAATTGGAATCAACCTTCCTTTCGTAATTTTGTCCATGTTCCCACTCCACCATCTCAGGCTCAACCTTCCCCAACAGCATCTCAACCCCAACAATCACCTCTTCAATCTCAACAAGGGAACTCTCACTCTGATTCCACTCTATAAAGAATTACTTCCTCTGGTTCTACTTCTAAACCGCCTAATTCTCAACATTCCACTATGAGAGTCTTTTCGGAAACTTACCGGTTAGCTCAGCATGCCTAGACTACCCTTTCCAACCTCTTGTTTTCTGATACTCCTGGCACTTCTTCCAGAGGAAAATGCCCCCGGTTTGATGTTCTAGAAAATCTAGAGACAGAAGATACTCTTGATTTACCCATTTATGACAGACCTGAATCTTCAGACCGAAGTAATTAGACTGACAAAATCCTTTCTATTGTGCAATCTGATTTGGAAAATGATAATGATATGCACATCCATAATAGAGAACCTTCTGATCAAGAGGAGACTCCTACAAGCGCGTCAGAACTGGTTAGTTCTGATTTTAAAAATCTACTTTACTTTATTCTGCATAGGGCAATGGTGGCTGGCCCCAAACAGCCACAACATCGCCAATGTTGATTATTAGCTGGAACTGCCGGGGGGCGGCACACCCTAAGGCAGTTCAAGGTCTAAGAGCTTTGATTAAAAAACATAACCCACATTTTATTTTTATATGTGAAACCAAAATTCCTTTAGATAAAATGGAAAATTTAGCTAATCACTTTCATTATGCTAATTCCTATTTAATTCCTCCGGAACAATGTGCATGAGGCTTAGCTGTTTTTTGGAAATCTGGTATCTTGGTTTCCCCTTTTTGGTTCAATCAAGGTATGTTCTCCTTAAAGTTTCTTCTCCTCCTATTTTTAATGAGTGGTTGGTAGGTTTCATTTATGGTCCATCAATTAAAGCCCGCAGAAATAAATTTTGGTCAAATCTTAATCAACAGCTATAGTCTCTGAATCTACCTTTATTAATCCTAGGTGATTTTAATGAAGCAGATACAGTCATGATTCAAGATCCTACCTCCTCTAACAATACCTCTAAACTTACCTCTAGCCAGTATCGTAATTTGGTTTTGGATAATAAACTTATTGAAATTCATATTCAAGGGGGAAAGCTTAGATGGTTCAATAAAAGACCTTTTGGACTCACTAGTCGAACTCTAGATAGAGCCTAATCTACCCTAGATTGGATCTCAGGTTTCCCTCATGCAACCCTTAACTTATCTGCAATATGGGGTTCTGACCATCATCCTCTAATTTTAGACATTTATCCCCACAAGAATCAATATCCAAAACCTTTTAGGTTTTATGAAATGTGGTTAGCAGAAGGTTCCTGTAGTGAAGTTATTCAAAATGGATGGGATTTCCATAGATGGTTATGCTGCCTATAGACGTTCTCAAAGAATGGACCGAATTAAGGCTAATCTTATTCACTAGAGGAAATTAAAATTTATGGACTCTCAACAAAAATTAAGTGAATTAGAGCAACAGATTATTCAAGTTGAACAATCAACTCCTTGGGATCAAACAAAAATCATATCTTTTTATAAAATTTATGATGATACCCAAACCCAAGTTGAGAGCTTTTGGAGACAAAGATCTAGACAACTCTACCTTACTTTGGGAGATAAAAATACTAATTATTTTCATAAAAGCACTTTATGTTGCCAGAGAAAGAATGAAAATCAAGGAATTAAAGATTGTCATGGCTCTTGGGTGACGGATCATAAAGATATATCAAAAGTCTTTATTTCTTATTT